TTAATAATAGATTTCTTAAAGCTTTCTATATAATATATATTTAGTAACTTACTAATATTCTCTCTATTAATATACGAGAGATTAAGAATACTCTAAAGCTAGTTACTAAGATCTATAAAATTACTAAAAGCAAGAAGTATATTTCCGTTATTTAGGTAAATAAGGAAATATAGGATTTCTTTTTTAAGAACTAGGAAATTAAAAAGTATAAATATAAATACTATATTTCTAATTAATTCTGCCCTAATCTATAGCTCTAATTTAATACTATAGTTCCTATTCCTGAGTTTAGTACTATTAATCTAGGTACTAATAGCTATATTTATAAGAAGAATTACCTGAAGTAAATTAAAAAGCTTAGTATTTGAGAGCTCTTAATAGAAGAAATAGAAATACTATAGTTCTATCTTTAAAAAGATAATATATTAATATATAGAAATCTTAGTAATAGCTATTTTACTTTAGTCTTTTAATTTTTAATAGCAGATTTATTAATATGGCTCGGATTTTATAAGATATTAAGTAAGTATCCTATTTACCTAATTACTTACTCTTAGCTAGCCAGATACTTTATTCCTGGAAATATTAATTATAATTAGTATAAAAGCAATATTAAAGATCTGGCTATTACTAAAGCTTTAAGTAGTAAATTCTATTTTAGTAAAGAGTATTAGAATATTAGCTATATTTTCCTTATAAACTATAAGAAAGCTACTACTTTTAGTAAGAAGTTCTTTAAAGATATTAATTATTCTTCTATTTCTAATAAATTTAAGCCAGAAGTAGCTAAGGAAATAAGCGAGTATTTACTAAAAGTAGTAAGAAAAAAGATTCCGAATATAGTCTATTAACTAAATAAATAAATACCTTTAGCTAGGTAATTTATAAGTCTGAAATTATAAGAAAACGTTAATTCTCGAATAATATATAAGTTAAAGAATAGCTTAATAATAATTTACTATTTAATAAGCCTTTTACTATAGTTCTAATAAGTCTAGTTACTATTAAGGATAGAATATATAAAAATAAAGTCTTTTATAAGATTATTAAAGCCTCTTATCTAGAGCTTTCTCCTCTTATTAAAGATTAATTTAAGAATACTATAGATAATACGAAATTCAAAGAAGCTATTTACTTAAAGTATATTAGTATAATTTATAATATAATTTACTATAATAAGCCTCCTTAATACCTAGTAATAAAGGCGGAAATTAAGTAATAATTAAAAGCAGATACTAATTAATATAGAGAACTATATTGGATTTAGTATAAGAATATGGCTAAGCAGGTTCGGATTACTTTTAAGTAAGTTCGAGAGTATAAAATAAGACTATTTAAGGATAATAAGTCTTATTTTAGGTATATAGAAAAGAAATTGGATTAACTAATAAAAGAGAATCCTGAATATTTTATTATTTCGGACTCTAAATAAGATTTTTCTATTATTTTTAGTATTTAGGAAACAAGTATAAATAAATAAAGGATCGGATATAGTATAACAGGCCATACTTATTAAAAATCATATTATTTTAGCGGTTTTAAGGTTTAGGTTATATAATAAAGGCCATAGCCTTTTATATATAACTTGCGGAAATTATATAAGAAAGCTGGTTTTTCTATAGACTTAAAGAATAATTCTTTATAAATATTTAATTAATTAAGCTTTTATATACTATATACTATTTATACTTTATTATTTATACTTTTAATTTATTATTTTACTATTAAATTACGTTTTATACTCTAGTATACTTTATATGGGTTTTTGTCTTATTATAGTTTTCCTTTTATAATAGTTTAGAAAAAATTTATAAATAGCTTTAATATAATTGAAATTATTTAAAGTTTCGAGAATGTTTTTAGTATCCTTTAATAGTAATAGATTAATACCCTATAGCTACTAATTAAGTTTCTAATTAAATAAATTTAAGGCTATTATTAGATTCAAGAGATACTAGTAAGCTAGTATATATAGTAAGGTAGCAGATTGCCTTATTTAGAGCTTCTCTAAATAGTAGCTCGTATTAGTAAGTAGCTATAGGGAAATATGCCCGGCTAATAAGAAGATCCGCAGTTTATAAAATAAAGAAGAAGCAGTAAGTGGAAGAGAATCCGCCTTATTCTATAGTAGCCCTTTATATATATAGTCCATTATTATACCTCTATCCGGGATATCGAGTTCCCTATACATTAATCGAGGTTTAAAAAAGCCTCCTAGAAGATCTTAACTTGCAAACTAAGACAAAGAGGAAGAACGGAGCATTTTAAAGGGCCATGATTTAAAGAACTAACTTCGAGGTAGACCTATAATAGGACTCATTATCCCGGATATTACAATTCATGTTCCGAATTTCCGCTTGGAGTTAGTAGCCTGTAGCTAGAAGAACTTTCAACAACTTCGAATACCTTTAAGCGAGTTTTAAATAGTTCAAAAAAGTTTAAACACTTCTAAGCGAGTTTGAATAGTTCAAAAAAATTTGAATAGTTCCAAGCGAGTCCTCCTAACTAATCACGACAGGGGAATATGTTGAACTCCAGGCAGTTAACTCCGGTTAGAACTTTCTTCTACCACATTAGCGCTACTCCTGATCACTCCTCATCGCAGTGGCCACAGCACGAACCCCCGCAGCTTAGCTTAATGCGGCTGCCACCTCGTGTAATGCCGTAGATCCCACAGGAGCATTGGTCCAACACTTTCATGTAAAGGAAGGTGCCGGGGTTTTGCGACGAAGGTAGGCAAGGTCTAGGTATTGCGATCTCAGAGGTGGACAGTGGGCGGCCCTTCGGGATATCGCTATTACTTTGGCATTGAATATTGAGAACATTCACCTTGTTACCGATCTTGGGCTCGTAGGCGGAGGGTTCACTAGGTACGTAATAGTGGCGCCCGTTAATGAGATACTATGGATTTGTCAGAGAAGAGTAGCAAAGCTCCAAGGGGAGGTGTCTAGACGTGATACCCATACAGACCAGGCTAAAGGGAAGGAGAAAATGAGCCCTTCCAAGCTATAGACCCCTTATCCCAGACAAGAAGATAATATTCGGAGTATCCATCCCATAATCTACATACCAGGACATTCTTAGCAGTCTCAAACCCAGGTACTGTAAAGGGAATTTCGTAGACCCCTATATTGGCTAGGGGAATTGTATCTCGGAAAGCTGGATGTAATGTCTTTTTAATAGCTTTGAAAACAATAATAAGGCTACCGGATACTATCCTTGGATGTATATGACCTATAGGGTATAATATACCCTCAAAATCCTACCTGAACTTTGGAGCTACGGGTAACGACTAGGATTAAGCCGTATAATAGTGAGGGCAGAGCCTGGCCCCCCCTGTACCCCCTCCCGCTCACCATATATACCCTGCGCGCCACCAACCTCAGGTAAAGAACACTAGTAAGTACGGTGTGTTTATACCCAATCTAGAACACCTTCGACGAGATGTGGATTGGAAATCCAAGAAAAGAACAAGAGCCTGGACGCTGCAACCTATACCGTGATTATTCCGTCGCTTATTAAATAGGATACGTGGAAGAGCCCTTACTTCCTCGATATTACTATCCATCAGAAACATGGGTGGCTAGCCATTGGTCTAATTACAGTCAAATCTGGCCAACCTCCTTATCTCAACACTTCTTTCTCCTCTCTCCTTGCAGGTCCACGGCCATTAATGCGGCCAATAGACTCGAATCCTATACCGCAATGAATCGCAGTTCCTGCTGATTTCAAACCCCCCATATCCTCTCGTGTGTATTTGTTTATTTATTATTATTTCGTGTCTGGTCCGATCGATCGGAGAGTAGGGAGTGTCGTTTGCTCTTGCTACTTCGGTCGAGTGACCTTAGGTCTTATTCGTTTGGGGATCGCGAGAAGCCGACCAGCGTCATGGCTCGTGTCTGAAAATGAACTGCTCCAAGATGGTCAGTATTGGTCTGGATAACGTACAAGGAGGCAGATGGGCCCTTACCAGCTTACACTAGTTCGTGAGGCTGTCGTATCGTTGGAGGAGCACATCGTCTCTGGAACGCCCGTCGCTTCATTTGTTATATACCGCTATATTGATTTCACCAAATCAAAGTAGCTTCCAGCCTCATCTCGTCGTTGGGAGGGGCCATCGTGCAGGAGGCGGTCGTGAAACCATTATCAACTCTGGGCCGAGGGCCGCTTAGTAGTGGGCTTTTGAAAAAGATTACAAAGTTCTGTCAAGGGTGCCTGCTGTCATGCCCTCGGCAAAATCCTAGTCAGCTACTGCCTGTTTGATAGCAAAGCACTTAGCCTTGTAAACATTATCCAGATCGTCATGTTTATACTTTTCCTACCTTCATAGATCGACATCGAAGCCAGCTTGTATTCGGCCAGGCTACGTAACGACTCGCAACCCCGCCTGGATACAACGGCTCTCTGCGGACACCGTGCGATAGCAATGCGTTAATTTTCCGTCCCATGCAGTACCTACCACTACACGCTACTCAGCGCAAAGACTCCGATTCAATCCAAACATTCTTCGCAGCGGCCCCGGAACCGGCTCTACGCTATGGGGCCAAGCAAACAAGTCAAATAGAGATCTCGCAAGACGGATCTTGCAAAAAGGCTTAAAAACGTATGGGAATAGAGCTTGGAGACCCATAATAAGGAGGTTCTAAAGAAGGCATATTCCCTCAGACCCCTTATTATTATCCGCTAACCGCAGTACAGTACGGTTTGGACTATGCAACGACCAAAACGGAGCCTTTAATAATAACAAGCACTGACTGGGATTGGAAGGATTTGCCTAATATCCCTGGGATAGTACCGTACCTGATATTTCTATATGGGGGGAGCTTTTCATACGAGGACCAGGTGGAAATAGATAAAAGCCTCGAGATATACGATTGTCCTATAGGCGCCTCAAAGATCTGTCTTAGAGATACTGGTAGAGTGCTCGTTATATATCAAGCTAAAGATTCAAGGACAGGGGTTTAATAGCATAGTCATTTGTATTTAATTTGGATTGAGCTCTAACCAACCCTAGCCTGAGAAATCAAAGTCATCTGCAGATATTAGTAGCATATCTGAACTAGTACTAAAATATTTACTATTATTAAAGATAGCCAAATCCTCCTGTTATTATAGAGCTTCTGCGCGCGGTAGTATTTCAGTACTTGACTGGAGAGGGGGTAGTGGCTTTTTGGAGGGTTGTATATCCGTCTGAGGTATACTATCTGGAAGCCTATCGGGTATTATAGAAGTAGCTACTAAATAGTTAGCCATATTGCAACGAGATATGCATTCTGAATTGAGTACTTGATCGTACTCTCTTACGCTTCTCCTTTATTACACCATAGCAATAAAGCCGAGGGAGGGACTCCGTTGGATCGAACTCGGCTAGGCACATTAGTCATAGAAAGTCTGCTAGGGGAAAAGAAGGTAAAAGTACTTTTAGACGTGTTATAGTCATTAATCCATCCTGCAATACCCGCATTTATCTTTTCTTTTCCATACTTTTTTGCGAGTTCGGCTATTATTTCTATTAATAGTACACCTATTATAGAGAAAATAGCGGTATGATCCTTGGTACCTAAGTGAAGTACGAGAAGTCTATTAATACCTCCATTCGTAAAAGATGGATTCAATATCGTACTCTTCGTATTATTAATTATAGTAGCCTCGGACTATCTCCACAATCTGGCCCTTTGGAAGCCAATAACATTTCGTCTTATTTAGTCCCTTACGAATATCAGAGATGATTTCATATAGTATGAGCAGGTCCTGAAGCTCCTTGAGATTACGTTCCAATTTCGATTTTTGCTCTGGCGAAGCGTTATGAAATGCATATAGGAGTAGACGTTTGGTCTCGGTAGTATGGTTACATGTATCTTTGATCTTAGCCTCTAATAAGCTTATTAATTGCAGCTGTACTAATGTCATGCTTTTATAGAGTTGAATACGTGATAAAATGAGCCGCAATTCGTGATAGACGACTTCAAAAAGATTTGAATACTTCAAAAAGGTTTGAATACTTCAAAAAAGTTGGAACCCTTTAAAAAAGTTGGAACACTTCAAGCGTAATAGATAATTCAAGCGTAATAGAATGTACTAGGCGTGAGCCACTTGATTGGCTCCTAGGGATCCCTAATCCACCTCTACTAGTTTGCCTTTCTACGGAACGCGCTCTCAAGCTCTAGGGAGCACCTTAAAAGTCCGTAGGTGGAAGGGATATAAATCTGTGAGTCCCGTTTAATTAATCCTTTATCTTGACTTCTTCTTATACTATACTATACAAATTACTATCAAGAATGTCTGGTTCAGGAGGGTACTATAAGTACCGCTGCAAGTACTAGCTGACCTATAACTATCTAAACTGGGTATGGGTAAACAATGCACTATATACTTATTGCCTAGTAATATTTCTTTCTTTACCCCTCTTCCTTATTACTTACTTTCTATAGGCGAATAATAGGGATAATAATTCCCAGGACTTAGAAGGAAGATCGAAACTCTAATATATTTGATCCAGGTAAGTACTAGTAACGAGCCCGTCTTCCTAATAGAAACTTAATTGGCCCAGGAAGAATTCCGCCTCTAAAGCCTAATATAATAAGAGCTTTCCAGAAAATAAAGAAGAAGTAGGGATTAGAGAATTAATAGTTTTTAACTCTTAATTCCCTTTAACTAGAGTAATTCATATATTTAGGTAATCTATAGTAGTTTATTAGAAAATATAGGTATAATAAATTAATATAACTAAAGTATAAAGTATAAAAGTTCAAATAAATATAGGTAAATTACTAGTATAACTAATATCTTTTCCTAGCTCTAGTTATATAAAGTATTTGACTAATACTTATACTAAATATATTTCTCTAAATAGATATATTCTCTCTTTATATACTATAACCTTTTCAGAAATTATACTTGTATTTTTTGAGATACGAAAGTTAGTATATTATAAGATCCTAGTTAATTAGCCTTTAATAATATAGTAGAATGAGAGTGAACTAACTATTATATTTCCCTAGTAAGAGTAGTTCTGTATTTCTTATATTCTTTGGCTCTCGAAATATTATTAAATTTATAAGAAGTATTCGGGTATGTTTCCTAATTAATAAGTTCGGGTACTAAAGACTAACTCATAATAAAGTTTTTGGTATAGGCTATTCTGGAATAATAAATATTAGAGTTTAGGTAAATAGAAATAGAACTAAAAAGACTTTAAGAGACTTATAATTTGGAATTCTTATTTTTGAATTATTAGAATAGACCCTACTATATTTATATAGGCTATTGCCTCTTTTATAAGACTATAAGCTATTCTCTAATTAGTTCTCTAGTACTTTTTTTTCTTATTAATATAACTTGATTCTATAGTATTCTTTAATAAATTATAGTACGAGCCATTTATTAGCTTGCCCTATAAGATAACTAGGCGGGGTTAATGCCCTGCTTATAAATACTCTTTCCTATAGACTTTAGTAAATTATAATATACTAAGCTCCTAAGAACTATTAATAGTAATCCTATAACCTATTCTATAGGCCAAAACTATAGAATCTGCCGGCTATTCCCTAAGCCATAGCCTCTTAAGTAAGCTTAGTCTAGCTATTATAATTTAGAAAGCAGAATTATCTAGTTAGTCTATTATATATTATCTGGCAGGTATAATAACTTATATTAGTTACCGAATTTGGAAAGGGCTCTAGTAATAGTAAAGTATAATACCCTATACTTCTTTTAATTCTCGGTTATATAATTTAATTAGCTAGGAAACTCGGTAAAATATAGTTATATAAATTTTTATTCTATAATATTATAGCTTTCCTTTCTTTACTTGATTTTCTTCTTATATTATTATTTCTTTTAACTAGCTTAGTTAGGTAAATTTTGGTTATAACTAATTATATATCCTATAAGAAGTACTAGTTTTCTTTTAGAATAATAAATTTAGTATATTTTAGTACTTATTTAGATATATACTTATCTAATATAAATAGCTAATTCCGAATAATAAGATAATACTACTAATTAGTACTTCTATATATTGCCTTATTTTAGACTACTAGATATTAGGCTTCTTGAAAGTATATAAATAAGTTATTATAATAAATTCTTTAAATATAATTATTAGCTAGGAAAATAGAGAAAATATTTTTTATTTTTATAAATAAGTAAAAGAAAATCTTTTATTACTAGATTACTATATAAGAGTAATATCTTGGCTATAATTTGAAGTATTAGAACTAATATATTTTATAAGATAAAGGCTTAGTATAAAGAATTAGAAGCCAAGAGTAATATTATCTGATTTATAAAAAGAAATATTTCTTATATTTCCTTTCTAGAGGTTATATATTCTTGAATTAATTATAATTAGAATAGGTTCTTTCTTATCCTAAAGCAGGTTAGTAAATAAATATTATAAGATACCTGGCCTTAATTTTCTTTCCCTTAATAGTTATAAATTACTAGTTAGATTATAAAGTACTACTTTAAGTTTACTGGAATTATATTACTTATATTTAAAAGTATTATTTATTATAGTATATTTGAACTATTTTTAATACTAGCTACTAAATATTCCTATTTATTATAGAAGCCTAGATCTCTAGGGCTCTTTTCTTTTATAGACTTTAACTCTTATCTTTTATAATAATTAACTAAGTATTATCTTAATATTAGACCTTACTTATACTACTATTATACTAATCTTAGACTAAGTAATATTATGATTTCAGAAAAAAGTAATATAAAGGGAATCCTAAATTAGAAATCTATAGGGTTCTATCTAAAATACTAGATTATATTAAAACCTATACTTAGTACTAGTTTCTTTCTTAGCTCTATAAAAGAAATAAAGAGGGAGGTATAATATAATCTTCTGAGAAATATATTAAAGAAAGAAGGTTTCGAACTAGTAATCTTTTTATAGCTCTTGAGCCTAAAAGCAAAAGTATATATAACTTATTTTTGGTTTATAATAATAATTACTTTTGCTTATATTTCTAATAGCTATATTTATAATATAATATATTATTTTTTATTACCTTATTATTATTTGCCTAGCTAATATCTATTACCTAATCTCTTATATTTTAAGCTATTATATATCTACCTATATAATAAAGCCTACTTATCTCTAGGCCAAATTATATTCTAGTATATATATATAGTAGCCAGGGTCTTGCCTCAGAACTTCTTAAAAATCTAGAGCCAAGTCTTACTTTTCTTTCTATATACTAGTAAGTATTACTTCTCTAAGTTTAACTAGTAAATATACTTGCTTATATTTAAATAGCTTTATTTGGCCTTATAAGAATCTCTATTATTTAAGTTATTATTATTACTATTATTTAATAGTTTAACCTTCTCTAATATAGGAGCCCTAATACTAATAAAATAATTAGCTACTCTACTAGTTTAAGAATAACTGGCTCCTATATAAGGTCGCTTTTTGAATTTTATTAAATAGTATATCCGGATAGATCCTTTACTCTAGTAAAAGAGTTTAGTAAAAATATATTCCTATAAATAGCCTTTATTCTATATCTGGGCTAGCTTTATATTATTTTCTATTTATAAAACCCTGTTTTTTTTTTAGCTTTAATAATACTTAATATATCTGAGAATATTTAGTAATATTATAATTAATATCTAATATATTAGGATTAATTAGTAAGTAAAGATATTTCGAGATTAATAATAGTTTGAACTCAAGATTATATATTATATTATCTCTAATTCTAGTATATTTAAGGAAGCCTTAGAAGAGCTATTTCTAATACTTAGTAACTAGGGCCGCCTCTAATACTATAAGCGGGCTTTAAGAGGCTTATAAGGTATAATAGCGGCTATTATTAATAAAGGTTAACGGGTATTTATAATTAATCTGAGATTATATATTATTAGTCTTAGGTATAGTAGTTAATAATATTATAAGAAGGCTATACTATTTAATATAAAGCTTTGGGATATTTCTGTAAGAGGTAATTAGAGTTATAGCAGGTATTAGGTGTGGCTTTTATTACTTTATAAGTTATAGGTTCTCGTTACTTATATTATAAGTATTATAATTATTATTAGTATTTATAAAATAGTTAGTATTATTACTAATCTCTATATATATATCTTAGTATTCTCGCTTTCGTATTATAGGCTTACTCTTTAGTACCGGGTTAGCTAAGGCAAAAAAGCCTTAAGAGATTTATAATATATAGTTATATTTGTCTCTAATTAGAGTTACTAAATATCTGAGAAGAATATTATACTATACTTTATTTAAGAAATAGAAAGAAGATACTATTCGAGATATATTCTATTAATAAACTATTTCTTAAGATTTCTAAAATAGGGCATTTAGTTATCTTTAAGCTTAGTAACTAATATAGGGCTAAGCAAGATTCTTAATTAATCTCTAGTAATTCAGGTATAATTATTAAGACTAAATATATTAACTAGATACTCGAAAACTTTTTGGCCTTTATACTAGCTAGAGTATATCTTATAAACTCGAATATATAAAGCTAAGTCTTAAGAGCTTAGTATATAAGATATTAATATTTATATATTATTTTTATTAAACTAAGAATCTGACCTGTTTGGATATTTCCTCTATATAACTCGGTATTAAGTTATTTTTATTTAGTATTTAGGAAGCTACTAAGCTCATATATTATATAGTCGAAAACAGTACTCGTTATTTCCGTTAATCTCAAGTTATATAGATAGTAGATTTTTAGTAGCTTTCTTGTCTTTAGGATTATCTAGGTTAATAACGTTAACCAAGTCTTACTAATTACTTCTAACTAGCTGCCCGAGCTCTACCTCCTATACTATAAGCTCTTCCCGTTACTATACTACTATTACTTTCCCTTTTACTCTTACCTGAGTTTCCCGCTACTCCTACTTAAGGTCCTGAGCTAGGGTACTATATT